TCAAAAACTAATATGAATTTATAAAGTGAAGAAAGGTAAGGAGTTTTGAATTTAAGAAGAGGATAGTGAAGTTCAAAATTATTAAAGGCTATCTAGATATAATAATCCTTACTTGAAATACATGTAATAATCCTTACTTGAAAAAAAAGAAAAGAAATGATTGAAAAGATCCTAAAAGAAGAAAAAAAAAAGAGAAAGAGAAAAGAAAAGGAAAAGAAAATTGAGTGAGGAGAAGCTTGAGGAGATGTCTAATCAAAAATTGGCTTGACTTGAATCAACTTAAGAAAAAGGCTTTATTACATTTTATAAACTTGTATTGCAGTATAAGTGATCCCGGTTTTTTATATATATAGATGTAAAATGTGATGTATGTGATTATATGATTAATTTTCTTAATAGTTATTCTTAGTTTGCAACAAAGCTAAAAACTTGATCCAAAGCAAAAGAAAGGTAAATCTTTCACTATGAAGCAAATAAGAATGCAATTATAATATTTCAATTTAGGATACTACGCAAGTATACGCATTGTTATCAAGTAATACAGAACTTTATGATTAAATCTCAAATATCAAACTTGCAGGGAGAACTAGATTTAGATAATAAAATTTACTTAGCAATACATTCCTACTTAAACTTAAGATGTTAAAATAGGAATAAAAGTTTGATTCTTTTTGTAATTTTTGATAATTGAAAATAAAGTAAGCAACTAATTAACTTAACTAAAATACTTGCAAGTTGAAGGCAATATAAATAAAATATATTTTTCCTTATTATGAATCAGTGATAAATATAGAAATTCTGTTGTAGAAATATGTTAAATGTGTTGTGCCAAATAAGAGCAATAATATTCTTTACCCTTACTAGAGATGCTATAAAGAACATTGACTAATATATAGTTTGAATAATTTTGAAGACCGACTAGACAGAGAAGAAACTAGCTCTAGCTCTAGATTTCCCTCTTCTCCCTCCACCTGGTGGCTAACATCCCGTATCAAAACCTAAAATTATAAATAATTATAAATAAAATTGAGGGCTTTAGTCTGTCACTCAAAAGTCCTCTAATTCTGCACCCTTTAAAAGTTTATTTCCCTATTTATTTGCATTCAACCCCATGAACTACATTCTTATTCATGAAATCAATATGTGATTCAAACAATTTGTCGACTGAGACAATACAATCTAAAATCTTACATGTTCTCACAAAACGTATTAACATCTTAATTGACCAAATCAAGAAATAAATGAAGTTCAAGGTTTCAAATCATCACAACTTCTTCTAACATTAAAGTTTAATACTTCACACAACTTCCTTTAAATATTTAATCACTTATCATTTTAAGGAAATAGATAAAGAAAACTACTCATAATCCATGGAGAAAGCACAACCACACATGATTTAGAAGTAGAAATCATGCACACAAACCAAAAATCTAAATTAAAACAAGGAAATATTCCTATAACACAGAATATTCCTAAACCCTCAATAACACATTAAATAACTATAAGTTATTAATAAATATAAATTATCACAACAACAACAACCACAACAACAACAACAACAACAACCCACTACGTACAACAACAAAGCCTTAATCCCCCTACGTAGTGTCGGCTACATGAACACTTTTTCTTCATTGCGTCCCATTTAGTGTCATATTTTCATTTAGTTCTAGTAAATTAATATCATTTTTTATACAATAAGCCCAAGTCTTCCTAGGTCTACCTCTGCTTTTCTTAACACAAGTCGAATCTAAAACATCTACTATCCTAATCGAATCATCAAATGATCGACGTTTAATGTGACCAAATCATCTAAGACAACTTTCTCTAATTTTTTCTGTCACAGGAGCTACACCAACCCTTTCACGGATATATTCATTTCGCATTTTGTCTCTAAGTGTAGCCACTCATCCACCTAATCATTCTCATCTCGACAACACTTAACTTATTATTATGCTTCTCTTTTAAAGGCCAACATTCAGCGCATTAAAGCATTGTAGGTCTCACCACCGTCTTATAAAATTTTCCTTTCAGTCTAAGCGGTACTTTTCTATCACACAAAAGGCCCGAAGCATTCCTCTACTTCAACCAACCAACTTGAATTCTACTATTAACATCCCCATCTACATCACCATCGTTTTGTACAACAAACCCAAAATATCTAGATCGTTCACACTTTTTAATAATTTGATCACCCAAAGTCACACTTATGTCACTAGAGCTAATACTACTAAAATTACATTCTATGTATTCAGTTTTAGTTCTACTTAAATGAAGGCCTTTGGACTCCAATGTAGACCTCCATAATTCAAGTTTTTCCTGTGCTTTTTCTCTTGTTTTATCCACGAGAAGGATATCATCAGCAAAAAGCATACACCAAGGTACATCCTCCTGTAGATATCTAATAAGACCATCCAAAACTAAAGCAAAAAGATATGGCTTAAAGCCGATCCCTAATGTAATCCAATAGAAATAGGAAAATATTTTGTCAATCCTTCTTCAATTTGAACACAAGTAACAGCTTTAGTATACATATCTTTAATGACGTGAATATAAGTCATATCAACGCCTTTCTTCTCAAGAACTCTCCAAAGGATATCTCTTGGGACCTTATCGTAAGCTTTTTCTAAATCAATAAAAATCAAATGTAGATTCTCCTTATTATCTATGAACTTCTCCATCAAACCTCTCAATAAATGATAGCTTCCATAGTAGACCTGTCCGGCATGAATCCAAATTGATTAGGAGAAATCTTTGCCATGTGTTTTAACCTATGTTCAATTGCCCTCTCCAAAAATTTTAAAGTATGACACATCAACTTAATTCCTCTATAATTTGCACACTCTTATGCATCCCCTTTATTCTTAAAAAAGGGGACAAAAATACTCTTCCTCCACTCCTCAGGCATCTTTTTGGTTTTTAAAATAATATTAAAGAGTTTAGTAAGCCAAGAAACTCTCAAATCTCCTAAATATTTCCACACTTCAATTGAGATATCATCAGGTCCTACAGACTATCCACCCTTGGTTTCAATTAGGATAATAAATATAAATTATCACGTCTAAATAATTTGTTTTTGTATTATAACACACTAATAACAAACTAATAACATATAATAACACACTAATAATACACTAATAATACATAATAACACTCATAATAACACAATTATACACTTCCTAGCCCACGGTATAACACGTGGGGAATATTCTCTGTGTGTTATACCGTGGGTTATAATGCCGCCCCATGTGTTATACAGCCGCCCTATAACACTCCCCAACCCGTCGTATAACACACATGGAATATTCCCCACGTGTTATACCGCGGGCTAGAGAGTATATAATTGTGTTATTATATGTGTTATTATAAGTTATTAAGTGGAAGAATATTTCTATATTCTCAATAACACATGAATAACGCGAAAAATATTCAGAATAACGCGGGAAAATATTTTTATGGGATGAAATATTTCTCTAATGCATTGGTCGGGCCGGTTCGCACGTTTCATTATTTTTTTATTTTTTATATAGGTAAGTCGGTCTTCCACGTGTCAGCGCAAGATTGGACTCGCAAGCAGCTCTTCATGTGAAGTCCTGATATAATATTTTTTTTCTTGCAAACCATCAAACATCTCCCCTGTGTTGAGCAAACAAATCTTCCAAGCCTCTTCCAAAAAATCTAAAGCTTTTAAGATTTTAATAGCTTTGATCTTTTCAAGTGTTTAAAATCTTTTGCAGAAACTAAAACCTACTCATTGGCATTAAATTACTGCCTAGACAGTATATATAAATATATATATATATATA